CAATTCCCGGAGCAGATATACCATTTAATTAAATCTTACTTAAGCAGCAGAACCTTCGTAGTAAAAATTAAAGACACATACTCTGAAGTTAAAAACATCAAGGCAGGGGTTCCGTAAGGAAGCGTCTTAGGACCAATTCTGTACACACTATACACGGCCAACATACCAATAACTACTAATAGCAAAATACTGACATTTGCGGACGACACGGCTGTACTAGTCAGGCGCACTAACCCTGCAACAGCAGTCACATTACTGCAAGAACATATCACAAACATAGAAAAGTGGCTTCAAGTTAAATAAATTAAAGCAAACCCCGATAAATGCAACCACATTACATTCACACTGCGAAAACAGATACCACCAAACATTACACTGAACGGCATGCACATAATACAAACAAGGCAAGTCAAATACCTAGGACTCCACTTAGATACACGATTCACATGAAAACAGCATATTAAATCTATAATAGACAAAATACAATTAGCAAGGAGACAAATGTATTGGTTAACAAGTCGAAAATCCAAACTAAGCATAGAAAACAAACTAAAAATATACAAAACGATCATAAAACCAATTTGGACGTACGGAATACCACTTTGGGGAACAGTAGCAAAGAGCCATATAAGCAAAATAGAGACAATCCACGCTAAAATTCTTAGATCAGTTGTAAACGCCCCATGGTACGTTAGAAACGAGGACATAGGGAAAGACCTTGGAATACCAACGGTCAAGGAAGAGATTAGCAGATTCGCAAGAAGGTACAGGGAAAGAATAGCAACGCACCCGAACCTGCTGGCAGCGGAAACGATCAACACATCAAGCATAGAAAGAAGACTAAAAAGGAAACACCCAGCAGATCTCACAAAGGATATATCTTAACAAACACGAAGATGGTATCCCATTGGGGGTAGCCATCCACATGATAATCAAGCAGATAAAAAATTCTACCAAATGTCCAAATTGGACAAATTGTTAATGTGAAATTTTAAATAAAAAAGAAAGAAAATTTTTTATTCTATATTTTCGACTTCTTTTTTCGCGTAAAATCAAACCCTTTCCGCTTGTACCATCAGTTACCAACCACCCTGTATATTTTAATATTGGAATCGAAGCCTGCTTTACTTTTCCTTTTAAATAATCGTCGATATTAAGTAATCTGTTATTCAAAATCATTATGTTTGATACTTTTTGTATGCGAGTTGTAGGTATTTAACATTCTTTCCGACAGTAATTTTTTACGCGACGCCTGACTCTCTAACTAAACTTACTTTTTAACTAAGTAATTAGAAATTTTTACATTATAGAATTAAATTTATCTTTAATGACATTTGCAGCACGTATCTATGTGTCGGGTTAAGATTAGAATTTAAGGCGCGTAACGATTCTTCGTTTGAATTAGCCATCGTTTTACGAAACGGAGATTATATTTACACGAATATACAAGATTTTACAAAATATTATGAATATTGAGTTTAATGAATGATAAGATTAACAAACGATAAGTTTAATTAATGATTAGATTAAAGAATAATAAGTTTAACAAATAATAAGAGTAACGAATAATATGTTTTACGAATAATAAATTTAATTAACGCTATTAACAATGTTCCTGAGTTCAAACGAATCCACGGTCAACGGGATAACTCTTTACTATGCGTAGAATAATTTTAAACACAAAAAAATACGATTGTTGAGACACTCGATGGATCAAACGAATGAATATCTGATGATAATCTTTTTCGCTGTACGACTGCATTTGTTTGTTATATGCTCGCTGGAGGCATTGAGAAGGTTCCAATCACCGTTGCTAGGCAGTTTCTGCCAAGAGTTTGTTGTATACTCTTTGGCAGCATCTAGAAAGACCCAAACGCCGTTGCTAGGCAGTTTCTGTCTGGAGTTTGATTCCTAATACAACGCGTGTCCCATTATATCGACATCTCTAAAGTACAATTCTATGTGATTTCTAGGGAGAACGATACAACCGATCCACACCTTCGTCAGGCAAAACGTTTATCCCGTGACCGTGGCTACGTTCGGCGACCAGTTGTCACCTCGAACCCTCCCAGTTGTCACCTCGAACCCACTTTCGCTATCACAAATATCGAACAATTACAATCAGATTGAATGACAACAATTGCTCAATTACAGCTATGATAAAATCTAGGCTAATACATTAGAAGACTTTCCCAAAATTGCAAAGGGAAGGCTCCGGTTTTCCTTTCATCTCCGACATATGCATATGTATATAAATCTACAAAATATATCGTATAAATTTTCTTAACCGGCTCAGATCAAGAAGTTGTAGAAAGCCACCGTTACTATTCTTTCTCGATTTCCTAATCTAATTGCAATTTTTTCAACATCTTTTTACACGTCATCCAGCAAATTAATCCTCCTAACTTATCAAGAAAGATAAAGAATTAAATCGTTTGGTCCCATTTTAAAGAAGTTATTTCATTTTAAAGGATATACTGTGGGATATAGTACTAAAATAGATCAATAATTTTTACTAGTAATACATATATAATAGACTAGTTAGTAATATACTCTGCTATTTATCTACTTTATGTAATTTACACAGTTTTGTATATCCTCGTACCAAATAAACGGTATATAACAGTCGGATAGATTGGACATTTTTTTGCATATGTAGGAAAAAATAACTGCTACGACAATATAAAATTATTGCCAAAACGATCAGTAGTGAATAGTGAAAATACATTTACAAATCATGGACATCCATTTGTGGATTGCACTTTGCAAATCTGCCCAACGATGTTCTCAAACGAAATTTTATGTATCAAAAGATGTAAGTATAATTATATTTTTATAACTAAATACGATAATTCTATCAATAATACAATATCGTTGCCGCCGTTCTTAACTGTTCCATTTCCATTAGTTCGTGAACTAACAATGAGAAAATTGAGTTTGTATGTTATAGAGTTTAATATTATACAGGGTGGTTGGTAAGTGGTGGTACAAGCGGAAAGGGGGTGACTTTACGCGAAGAAAGAAGTCGAAAAAATAGAATAAAAATTGCTTCTTTTACTTTTTTTTTAATTTTTCCATCGAGATAACGATCTACAGTGAGATCCATTATAACGTACCGCAAGCGTACCGAGTTCAAAGTTCAAAGTTGATTTTCTCGAAAACAAAGCCTCAAACGAAAAATTTTTATTCTATATTTTCAACTTCTTTTTTTGCGTAGAATCACCCCCTTTCCGCTTGTACTACCAGTTACCAACCACCCTGTATATTGTATGAAGTTAGGACTTAAAATAACTGAATATTTGTTGTTTTCTAAGTAGAGCTTTCATCATGTTATTATGAATTTATATCTATTCTCTCTACCAACGAGACATATGTGGATAGGTTAACTACATTTCTATCAAAAATGAAGTTAGAACAGTTGAGAACTAGTGCGACGCGACGATATGTATAGGATACTTGTTAGCAATCCGATTTGTTTTATCCGGTTATATCTATTATAATTCTATTATATCTATCTATTATATCTATTGTTAACCTAGCGGAATACGTTATCAGAATATGAATATTCTTTGGTTACGCTAAATAAATGATAGGTAAAGAAAGAGAAAATATCAAGCGATAGAGAAAAATCCAAGCGACAAAAGCGGAGATTTTTATTCTCCTTCCGCTGTAAAAACGAACAATCACCCTTCGTTCGTTTATTTATGCATTTCATAAAAACGGCCGACCAAGGTTGTATTATATTCGATTCTCCTCCAGTCTGCTTACTATCCTCTTCTACTGATCGTGAGTCTGCGCAGTTCTTCTACAGAGAGCTCCACGTTAATGTATAAATGAATAGAGTACCAGTGCTGTTACTCCCTCTACTACTTTCATCTTACGCTCACAGAGGGTGGTGCTGATGGTAGTCGCGACACCGGCGACGACGACGCCATTCGAAGTGGGGTTAATTAAGGGGGTGCTGATGCGCTGGTGCTGGTGCTGGTGCTGGTGCTGGTGCTGGTGCTGATGTTGGTGCTGGTGCTGGCGCTGGTGCTGGCTCTGGCGCTGGCACTGGCGCTGGCACTGGCGCTGCTGCTCCTGCTGCTCCTGCTGGTGCTGGTGGTGGTGATGGTGTTGGTACTGGTGGTGCTGGTGGTGATGGTATTGGTGCTGGTAGTGCTGATGCTGGTAGTGCTGGTGCTGGTGCTGGCGCTGCTGCTCCTGCTGCTTCTGCTGGTGCTGGTGGTGCTGGTGGTGATGGTGGTGCTGGTGGTGATGGTGGTGCTGGTGGTGATGGTGGTG